GGCTCATTTTTTCTGTACTATTCATTTTAATTTAATTTTTTATTTGTAATTAGTTTATGTTGTTTGTTTTGGTTATGTTTGTTATCATATGTTCGAAAATTAATACTGTATAAACCATATCCCTATTTCAATCTACCTATATAGGCTTTGTTATCTCTGAAGAGATTATGCAAGATAGCGCAATTGTAAACATTTAATTAATTAGTGATGCATATAGGATTTAAAATGCATTTTGTTAAATTTGAATCGCTTGTATTAAATCGAATAATAAATCTAATTCAAGAGCTAAAAACTATTACATTTTATAAGACGATAATAACATAATTCTCTACTTAGTGTTTTTATTTCTTCATTTGCAATTTTATTCTAATTTTACTTAATTTAACTACACATTTTGCTGGCAATTTTATTTATTTTATCAACAGCGAAAATGCTTACTTTTGAGTAACCCTAGTAATTTCAAGGTACGTTGTTCGGTATTTATTTACATTTTTCTTCCAATCAGTGGTTCAAATTAAAAAAAAGTTGCACTCAAACTTTTCAAACAATCTAATATCATAAATACTCTAATACCATAAATACTAAAAAACAGCATTGAGCCACCTAGGGAGCGCGCTGCATAGTTTGGAAATAAAATAAATAATATTGAAAATAAAATAAATAAATGAACTTTGATATGGCATTGTAAATTATTTCTGTATTTTACATTTGATATTGATTTCCCTTGAATTACAACGTATAAATATAAACTATTGATATTTCGATTCAGAATATTAAAAGAAGAAACATGAGGAAACATTGGATCAATTAGGTATAAAATGCATAATTATTATTATCCACTATGCATGCATAATTAATATTTTCAATAATTAAATTATGAATTCAATGATAAATGTATCATTATCGGTTGCATTTGTCTATAAATATGTAACGTAAATGAGTTTAGAAAGATATTACTCAACTAGAGTCGTATGTTATAATTTGGTTTTTAAAAAAATAACGCATTTTAAAGAATATCGTGCAGATATTTGATCATTAACATTTTCAAAATATTAAAAGAAATTGGCAAGCTTTCGCAGAGTCAAAGCACATTAATATTATCATGATAAAAGGGAACATAAATGGTATCAATAAATAATTTAAATCATTATAAAAATTGCTCAAGATCTCTCCAATTTTAATATAAAGAGTTCATTATTATGCATTTTGCATCACCGTGTCGCAACACTAAATAATCAGATAACAATTAAGACCATATATTTTTTCTTCTATAATTAAATAATCAGACATATATTCTCGTTCAGAGTACTGATACAAAGTACTTGCCATTATCAAATTAAATTTACGTTTACTGAATTGCGACTTACTAGATGTCATTTGGCACTCAATACTTGATAAATCATCTGAGATTCTAAACATTGTGAAAAACAATTTTTTAAGCTATTCATCCGCAAGTGAATATATTTTTAATTTAAATATTATCGGACTAATTATGTATGTGTTTTATTTAAGCATGTACATGATGTAATTACATCACTTATTTTATATTTTTATAAAATATGTTCAAAAAAATGAAAAGTTTAGATTGAAAATTGATTTAATAATTTGCAATTCATGAATAGCTAATAACAAGTAAATACATTCTGTGATTTTAATATAAGAAAATCTTGATCCAAGTATTCTAAAGGTAAAAGCACTATGGATGTTATAAGCATTATCTCAAACGATATTCATATCTCAAATTCCAATAATAACTACCTCCTATTTATTGCAGTTATATCGAAAAAGCATACGATAACGTAAACCAGGAAATTCTACAAAATAAAATGCGAAAGTTTAAGATTCCAAAACTTATAATTAATTGCGTTATGAATCTTATTTCACAAAAAGAATTTATATCAAAACTAAGGAAGGAATTATAGGGCCAAGAACAACAAATACGGGTATTCTCCAAGGGTCAATACTTAGCCCACTACTCTTTAACATTTATACCTCCGATTTGATCAAAATAATAAAATCAAACGATATCAAAATCTTACAGTATGCGGATGATCTGTTTATATATGTAGCAAAACCATCAATTGAGATATGCATAAAGAAGGCTAGTGAAGCAATAAAGAAACTACAAAATTGGCTCAATAAAAACAATCTAAGTATATCCCCAAGTAAAAGTTCAATAACAAAATTCCACAGACACAACAAATCATACCAGCAAGACCAAATTAGGTTGGGCAGTTTAGACTTTCCCATTAAAAAATGCGTAAAAATACTCGGTGTTTATTTGGATAACAAAATAGTTTTAAAAATCACATTCAAGAATTATGCAAAAAGGTGAAAAAGGTTTAAACATTTTGAGAAAACTAGCGAATACCAGTTGGGGAGCTCACCCAGAATCGTGCTTGATGATATATAAGAGTTTAAATAAGATCTCAAATGCTATGGATGTTTTATTTACGGCACAATAAACTCTTCTGAAATGCAAAAATTAAATAAATTACAATATTCAGCACTTAGATTGAGCCTAGGAGCTCTAAAATCAACTCCTACAAATAGTTTACTGCGGAAGCAGGTGAAATAACTTTTCAGCTGAGAATACAAATGTTATCAATAAATATCTTACGAAAAATTTAATCGGCATGCGAAGAAAAAAATAAATCAAATTACAACTGTTATCAAATCACCATATTCCAAAAAATTTTGGTTCAAGAAAAATACTCCACCATTATTATCAATTTTTTTATTTTTTCAAAAAGTTTGATGAATATATAACTATAAATAAGACCATACCAATTTTTGAATTTCCGTGGATAATGCAGTTTGAGAAACCCGATATAATATTTACATCGTTTCCAATTGAACCGAATATTTTAAACATTGGAGTCAGAAACAGGGAATTGGAGACTTACATAAATGAAAATGGCCTGATCACATACAAATCTATACAGATGGGTCAAGGGACAAGGAAAAACAGGTGGTGCTATTTACATCCCCAATTTTAATTATAAAAGAAAAGTGAGGTTGCCGGACATTGCATCGATTTTCACTGCAGAAGTATTAGCAATTTATTTAGCATTAGAGTATATCAAGCAAATAACATCAATAAAGTGATAATTCTTTCGGACAGCAAAGCAGCATTAAAATCTATCAACAAGCCAAATATTAAATCAAATAAACTATCTTAAAAACTACAGAAATTTTAATACAACTAACTAGAGATAAATTTTCAATCAATTATTATGGGTAAAAGGTCACTCCAACATATGGGTAACGACATAGCCGACAATCTTGCGAAAGAGGCATGGGATCTGGACGTGGACCCTTATAAAGTTCCATGTACTGATCTATTTTATGGATAAAGTCACAAACCATTAAACTTGGCAAGAGGAGTTTAAAACCTTATCAAAAAGGAAGGGAAGGCTATATGCTACAATTAATCCATCTCCAAAATTTAATACATGGTTTAATAAAAGGCTAGACATCGACAGAAAATTGATTTCAATTTTCTGTAGAATCGATTCAATCATACATTGTGCAAGGACCAGTTATACCGGTTTCGGATCGTAGATAATAACAAATGCATATGTGGAGCTGCAGAAACAATTGATCACTTATTTTGGCAATGCCATCTTCATAATGAACATCGTAATAATCTATACAATGTCTGAGTGAAAAGGGAATGTCATTTCCAATAAATACAGTCATATTAGTCGCTACAAACATATACAAATTATAAAATCGTTTTGGACTTTATTACTAAATGCAAAAATAAAATTTAAGTTTCTTAATTGATATCTGTGTGTATATGTAGGTATGTGTATGTGTATATATAAATATATATGTGCATGTGTGTATGTGTATATATGTATCGATATGTATATAGTTAAGTTTAGATATGTATGTATATATATATATATATATATATATATGTGTATATATATATATATATAGTTATAATTAATATTATAAATGTCTGTAATGTGCTAGATA